TTATTTAGACCACAGTAAGATTCAGAAGACCTTCAGTGTAAATTTAGCTTTCTAATATATTACATCCCAGGGTAAAAGATAAGTAATTTTAAAATAATACAAAAAGATGATCGCAATGACTTCTTAAAAAAGATCACCTTTAAGTTAGTTCTAGATGAGCCTTTCAATAACTACTTATTGTTGAAACCAAAACCTTTGTTCTCTACAGCACTCTTTTAAATGATGATGGTTGGTTACTGCAGGATTACAGCTTTATGTTTGGATTCTTTTGCCTCTTTACACTGCAAGCTCAACAGGAGTGCTTCATTCAGAAGGAACTCATCTTTCTACAAAGAGATCGATACATCTACAAAGAGATCAATACAGCTATGCTCAAAAGTTCACCCCAGTAAAAGCAACCTAGAATAATAATCCCTTCATTTGCAAGAAAAAAGCAACACATTGCAACTTAAATTGGAACACTGTTGAACTAGTAGCAGCTACAAATAAAGAGATCTGATAAAAGGGTCATCAACCATTGCAAGCACAAAAGACTTCTAAAACCAAGGATTAGTTCTTCACACAACTGAGTTCACTTTCCCTTGTAGAACCTATTGTTTCATAGTCCCCTACTAAGTCTTCCACTGCTTTCCGAAATTGTGTCACACCATCATCTTCATTTTGTTGATAAAACAAGAATGGTAAGGAGGAAGTGGGATTGCAAGCTGCAAGCTCTGTAAGGTAGTTTTCTACCACAGGGGCACTACTGAAAGACAGCCATGGATTAGAGCTTAACCTAATTTCAGAAACATTGCTTTAATTAGAGAAACAACAGGCATATAGGTTGGTCAACCTCACCTATAAGTAGCTGTTCCAGAGGAACAGTAAAAAGGTGAAACATCACAAATTAATTAAAATAAAGTGGTCAGAAGGTTAACAAAAGTGAAAGGTAGAATAATAAAACATGCACTTGCATTACCCTGATATACGTTCCTAAGACCAAGGTCCTCAGTCTCTCCAGGTGCTGGCACCTGCACACACAAGCCCCTACTCACAGTCCCGCTCCAGCTGGTGGGACAGACATCCACCCCAACTTACACACCACCACACAGACACACACACGCTGCAGATCCCTGCAGCAACTGGGCTTCGACACCGCAGTCCGTCCCACAGCTCACCCTGGATCCTCGACCTCCCTTGCTGTCTCACTCACTGCCAGACACACACCGATGGCTCTCTCATTTGACCCCAGACCTTGTGGTCTCTCCAGTAGCTGGCTTGGACATCCTGGTTCCTCCAGCAGCCAACTCCTCCAGCTGACACTCTCAGAGACGCACACACATATACATATATATACCTAGCTCACTTAATCTACACTCAGCTAGTCCAGCTTGATATTTGCTAGTGACATACACCAACACATCCACCCACTGCCAGGCTGGCACCCCAGGCCCACTGGCCCCCATGACCATGCTCTGGCTCCAGCGGCTGGCACTCAGACCTCCATACACATACATGCACACAGAATAGAAATAGTCTTGCCCAGGAAAATAGTTAGAAATGGAGTTTAATGAGAAGACAGGACAGATCATGCTGCTCAGGCACAGGGCACGGCCAGTCATGCCAACGAGCCTGTTTATATGCAGCCAGTCAGTCATTTTTATCCCTTTATCTCTCAATTTTCCCATATCTATTCCTCCCCAAACCACCTTGGTCCCCACCTCCCCCCACCTTTGGTTCCTCCTCTAAACATCCCATATGTCTTGTATGATTCCAAAATGCTCCTCCCTGCATCCTGCAATGAGTCCCAAACTCTGGCAGGCAGCAACCCCGCTCAGTCTGCAGAGCTGTCCAGAGTGCCCCGACTCCTGCTGCTGGGTGTCCCCATCCTGGTCCATGGGGCTGGGGACAGCCCTGGCAGGAGCCGAGTCAGGGGCTCCATTTCCCGGACTGGGTTATTGGGGTTCCCCTGCCTGCCGCTGTGCCTCTGGGCTCCTTTGCACGTGCCTGCGTGTGGCGAGATGAGCCTTTTATCACATTCCTCTCTCCCTTTTTTCCTCTCCCTCATCCTTCTTTGAAAACATCCTGTTTCTCTGTTTTCTTTTTCCCCCCCCCCGTTTTTTTTGAAAACAGGGACAGAAATGATGGATTTACATTCTTTTATATTACAAGTGATTAATGTACTGATGTTTTCCACACCCAATGCCTCATTATTTTGGAAGTGACATCTCAGTGGGCCCTTTTCCAAGGCTTCTCAAACTGTGCTCCAACCGTATGCCTTAAGCAAAAGTTTAGTGCCCTCCCTGCTGAATGTGACAGTTTTGCAAGCTTTTATACAGAATATAATCAATATGAAGTATTAACTGTACCTGTGTTGAATTTATCCTGTCATCTGTTGCTCACTTCAGAATACCCGTTGAGATCACATATGAAACATCAGTACAAAGGACAAAGTCGTATCACCTAGTTTTAACTACACCACTTCATCCTGTTCTTAGTTTTATATGAGTTTGAGAAATCAGAGTAAATGACTACTTAATGCAATAATGTGCCCCTTTAAAATATTCTGTATTTGACACAGAACAAATCTTCTTCAATACCCTCTCCAAACACTGCTTTTAGTCTCTCATATGCAAAAAGGAAACTGTTCAATATAGTTTTCTCCTGTAGTTCATGAGCGAAAGCCATCATTTCCATTCGTACTCTTTTCCTTGAAGTGTACATCACTATGAAGTGTTTGTGACAATTAACTTTTAAAATAACCCATGTACTTTTATTCACCTTATTTCTATGGAGAGAGACCTCACAGCAAGGATGGAATAACAATATGGAAACTAACCATCTAATCCAACTGGACACACTTTATTGAAGTCTTATTACTTCCATGTGTAAGAGGAAACTAAAGCCAACTGCAATCCCCAATTTTTGGCATTCTCAGTATGCACTGTATCCAGCAAAAGAGAATTTCACTTTTTGTTTTTATTTTTACAGCACAGTGATATTAGACATATGGACTTAACTTGATCATTTAGAGATCAAGTGTTTTAACCGAATAAAAAAAGCAAGGTCTTCATTATGCCTAAAGCAATACTGCTCTTTAAAAAGTTGTAATGGTTTGTAAATATTATTCTACTCTCTTTTGCAGTATGAATATTCTTAAAAATAACTGGTATCAAAATTTTAGTATGGATGATAAAATCTTCAAGAATGGATACAAAGATTAATGACAATATGGTTATAACACAGATTCAAATCAACCAATTTATATGAAAGAAACTCGCCATGGATAAATTCAATGCCAAAGAGTTATATTCCAATTTATTCTGAGATAGCATGGGTGATAAATTAACTAATATTTCTCAAGATAAAAATACTAGTTTCCTAAAAAATATTAATATAAAATTATGAGCTACTATCATGAAACAAATATTTGCTTTCAATATTGACAGAAATAAATAGCCCTTTATTAAAGCATTTTAAACTTTGTTTTCTATATAAGTTATATTTGTCAAGATACACCCCTGATATGAAAAACACCCCCAAGATGGATCAATCAGGTAAGCACCTTTCTTAGTGGAGGTCTGAGGAGATTAAAAACTCATTTTGTAGTTTCAACAATACTTTGAGCATCCCATGCTCTTCCAGTAATATTTACTGATAGGCTTTTTTTGTTTTCAACTCACTTTTTTCTCCAACACATATGCTTTCCTTTGTTATGCCAGTAAATTATGAGATTGCTGCACAGCTTAGAATAGTTTTCTCCTCAAGTGTTAATAATAACACAAGACACTAAAAGACAGGCTCTTTTGGTTGAGTTTATTTCACATTTTTGTAAGAATTTAAGAAAAATTATCACTTTCAGGTCTCACAGTTGGCGGTACCTTATGACTTTATTAGACCTATTTTAATCAAAGAGGCTACGTGTAAAAGAGGTCAAAAAGGGAGGTCAAATACTAATTACTCAGAAGGATGATAAATATTTGGTTCTTAACAGAGACAAAATGATCTTCATATAAAATGATCTTCGTATGATCTTCATATAATTATATTAAAATTAATACTCTTTAAAAGAAATTGTATCACAAAGATCAAGAAACATTTTTCTGACTCCTTATGCATATTTAATTCAAAATTACATTCCCAGAAAAATTAATTCCATTCCCTCCTACAAAAAGGCTAATTCCCAAGCTTTAACTACTGCCTGTATGGTTTATATTTTGTGAATTTTAGAATCCCATTTCTCTCTAGTCCTGTAATTTAACTGCTCTAAGAATAGAATAATCAGAAAATAGTAATCAGGCGGCGATGGACATAGTTAATTTAGATGTTTCTATAAACCAGTACCACTGATGTGCATAGGAAAGAAATCAAGTGAAGGGGAGAATCTGTATGCAAGTACAGACATAAAACATGTCAGAAAGCTCAAAAGGACTTCCAAAGAAGTTAAAGCCTAATGGCTCCAGACAACTGATACTGATGTACATCTCAACCTTTCAAAGCTGTTCTGTGCATACAAAAGCTCTACACATGTGTGAGCCCACAGCCATACGTGAACCACTTTTGCAGACTGCTTTCCTAACGAGGTCTCTGAACACTGTGGCTAACACCACATTATACTGCACTGGACCTGGGTGCTTTTTCTGTGACTGATTTCAACATTTTAATATTTCTAAGAAGCTTTGGGGATGAAAATATGAGGAAGGTAAAAAAAGAACATTAGAAACAGACTATACATAAAGCTTTTTCCTTTGCACCTGACAGCACATCCTCCCTGCTTTTCAGTGAAAGTTAAATTTTTTAGCTTAGCAGATGCTATTCACAGTGCCTGGTAGGTACATGGTTTCTCAGCTGTTCAGATAAAGTAATGCAAGCATCCACGTAACTGAAATTTAATAAAAATGTAAAAAAGTATAACTTAAAAAAACTTGAAAAACTCAACTTTTAATGTAGTAATAAATATTCTTTCTACAGGTAAACATATTCAGCCATGCAGAACACTTAAATACAAATAACCTGTGTACCTGAACTGTAGAACTGATTTCAGACGCAAATCCTCCTGTCAAGGGAGCCTCATGGCTAATCAGCAATCGCCCAGTCTTCACCACCGACTGAAAAGGAAAAACAAACCCCAAAAATGTAATCAAATTACACCTCTTGTGACTTCTTACTTGTACAACTTGTGGAAAATATGAAATATTTGACATTATTAGCAGTGTTAGAATGTATCTACTTTTCCCCTCTTGCATTTTCACTGAAAGATGAATAATCCTAAAAGTCTAAATTGAGTAATTAATAAGATGTTTTTATATTTACCATAAAAATGTTCACATCTTCCACTCCACTTTAAGCAAATATCAAGAATAAAAATTGATTCCACTGAGTATGAATTTACCCTATCAATGCAAATTGTAATATTTCTGAAGGAGAGTAAGGATTTTAACAAGAAGTCAGTAAAAGCTTGGATCCTGAAAATGCTAAAAGACACACATGTAAAGAAATCCTTCACTGATACATATCTCTACACAACCAGTTCCTAGGTAAAGTCAGGAACCATAACTATTCAGAAAGTAAAACTGTTAAATAAAAATTTTAGCCAGAAAACAATCGTGGGTTAATGTTGCTTATTTAAGTTTTACATGGCAATTAGAAGCAACATTTTCTATCTTGATTTTACATCTCAATGCGCGGTTTTTATGTGATCTACTTTATAAATAGTTACATAGCACAATATATACAGAAGGTGATCTAAGCATCTTTTAATAAAAAAACAATCTGGGTTCATTGTGAAACATAATAATGAAAGCAAAATATTTTTAATCTCATGGGAGTATAAAGCTTCACCACACCCAAATATCTTGAAGTTTATTGCAACTACATGCTAAATTGCCTAGAATCAAATAATATCGGATACCTTTGGGCAGAAATCTAGCAGCAAAGGCTCACTTTTCATAATACTCATTTTATAATTTCATAAGGTGCATAAAAAAAGTTTCATGAACTTCTCGAGATGCACATCAGAAAAAAAATAAGAATAATGTGTATGTTATTCTTTCAAGAAAAGTTACAGTCTGATTTTTAAGATAAGTACATAGCGTACTGCTGGTGTACGATTAGCTATCCAGTGGAAAAGCCCAAGACAGTGCTAGCTATTAGGTCAGACTTTCTTAGTGCTGTGATCTTCAATTTAATGTCTACACCAGCACATTCTGCAGCCGGGCAGGTTCATGTTGTCTACATAATAGAATACATAAAGGCAATGCCTTAATTATACAGTTTTCCTTCTGATTCAAGCACTTTTCTAATTCTTTTGCTTTTCTAGCAATGACTCAATCAATGGCTCTAAGTAGCTCATCCACAGATGTACTGGCAACTCATAGGCCTATAAACAAGATGATCCATATACTGTACTATGAAGTGGTTTGACAACATTCAGAGCTAAACAAGACAGGAAAAGGCATTTCAACAATTGGAAAGTAATCCACAGTTACATAGGCTGATTTCTTGAATTTCTTTTGCCAGCACTGGAAACTCATATCTAAAGAGCAGAGGCATTAACTGCACTATAAATCTGTCCAATACATCAAAATGACAGTTCAATGAACAAAATGTACACTCCGGCTTTAAGCTGATATGATAAAACTGATACAATCAGTTTTAAATTGCTGTGGTAAAACTCATACAATTAATCAGTTTTAAAGAGGGTGTTTTTTTTGAGAATGCTCTTACTTTTATTTTAAACAAAGACTCTTTTGCATATATTTGTTCTGAGAGGTTCAAACTTTGAAACATTGCAAGCTATCAAAATTACAGGTTTGGTTTCTCAGAATTTAATAGTATGAAACAGACACTGTTAGAAAGTACCTAAGAAAATCCACATGTGATCAGGCCAATAATCCAGCAGTCCAGTATCCTGTCTCCACAACGGAGATAAGTTGACGTTTAGGAAAGATTAAGAATAGGGCCTTTAATGTATTCCTTCACTGTGTCTCAGTCTCCAATTATTTTCATACCACAGGTTTCCTGAGTCCAATACGGTTTCTTGCTCTAAGTAACTGATAACTTTTCTTGCATGAAGTTATCTGTTCTCAAATTGAACCCATGTAAAAAATAAAGGGAAAAAAAAAAAAGGGGGGGTGGGGGGGGAATCTCATTTTGGAAACCTGCTTCTCCTATAGGAGAAATCCTTATTTTTACGTATGATTCCCAAGGGCCTCAAGGATTCCTTGCCTGTAGGAGCTTGTTAAGAGCAATCAAGCAGCTGTGATCACCAAGCACTGCACAGAAGCACCTCAGCCCTGCTAAAACGCACTATATATCACTCCTGGTGGGAAACCATGCTAGCATAGCTTTGGTGCTTTTAGTACCCATCCTAGCTTGTTCAGGGTCAGCATGGATACCTGCACCACATTGTGCCATGTAGAAATACCTTAAAAATTCTCCTAATGGTTAAACCAGAATCAAAATGAGCAAAAATTAACTACTATACTGCACTGCAAATAGAGTCACGGACTTTAAGGAAGGATATGAGTATTGCAATTCCTGAATATTACAGGCTCCCCTGCATCAATTTCTACTTCACAGTTAACACTTGTTCCAAAGCTACAGTGAGTCTTTCAGAAAGACTTTCAAGCTTCATTATGGTATTTCCAAATACCACTGTTTGCAAATGCATCACAGCTATTGGTAAGTTGTTCTAGTGTTTAACTGCCTTCCCTGTTAAGATTTTGCACCTTATTTCCAAACTAATTTGACTGACTTCAAGCTGTTGGTTCTTATTTTACTTCTGTTTGCTAGATGGAGAAGCTATCTATTATCACATTTCTGCTCCCCACATGAATATGTTAAGATTGTGATCAAATAATCTCTTAACCACACTTTTGCTAAACTAAGCAGACTGAGCTCTAAATCTTTCAGCATACAGCACACTTCCAATTCCTTCATCATTTTTACAACCCTATCCTGAATCATCTCCAGTTTTCAATGTCCTTCTTGAAGAACACCCATCTGGAACCAGCATTCCAGCCTTTTTCAGAACAACGCCAAATACGCAGATAATATAACCTCGATTCTGCAGCTCTTGGATGTATGAGGCCTTTTGGCCAAAGCATAACAACATGAGTCCAGTTTCAACTTATGACTGTAATTCCATGTTCTTGGGAAAGAGGGTGTTGTCATTAAAGAATAACTGCTTCTTGGAATAAAGATGGAAATATAGTGTGCACTTATTATTTCAAGATACAAAATTATATTTGGATATGCTGAAAAATAATTGTGTGCCTGAACCCAGCTCAGTTAATGAACCTACCTTCTTTTTATCAGTGACTAAGTGTCTGTTTTATCTATTTCTCCAGCTGTTTGTTAGCTCTAACTTATCAGTAACTATTTGAAATGTTTTCCATATCTTTGATAGAAATATCAAAAATCGTATTAAATATTAAACCCAAGACTCAGGTCATAGCAGACCACTGTCACCTGTGCTTTTTCCAGTCATTACAGAAAAGACTCTAGGGCTTTCAACTACTAAATTAACACTAAAACAAAACCAGAAACCAGTATTGACTACTTTTCCACCTCAATATCGTTGTCAGGACTGTTTTACATTGGTGTCACCCACAAGGATGACAACTGACGTTGCATCAGAGCAAAAGGCTAGCAGCATGATCATCCTGATAATGAAATGTAAAAAACCACCCTAATGCCTTTGCAAGACTAATGCTTTCAGATTGCACTCTGAAGGTTTTCTGAACTGCAGCCCAGCGTTTTTTCAGTGAAGCAGCTGAGCAAATTATTTTCAACCTCCCTGACCACACTCATTATCCAAAAGTTTCTATAGTCACTTTTCTGTTCAACTCTCAATTTGTCACGTTGGCCACTTTCTCCCCTCCTACGGCCACTGATGACAGACAAAAACAATGCAAGCCTGGCACTTCCAAGCAATTTGAAATCTAAGTGCTGACACTACCAATACCATATTATGCCCTTACTTAGGAGAAAGCAGACTTAAACCAAAATGACTTTGATGGTCAGCTGCATTTTACACTATTACTCTACCCACATAGCAACAGCACCACCTCCAGTGTCACCAGCTGCTTCACTAACACAGCAACTGCCTTTAAAGAAGTGATCAAAGTCAGAATTAGATTATAAATGGCTGTTATTGTGTCACAATGGCAAGTTGCCCATTTTCTTTAAAAAGAACTTGTTCTCAGAATAAAAAGATTTTCCATCTCTTACAGAAAATGAATTATATTGATGTTCAGTTTCACATTTGAAGTTTTGCATACTTTTGGTCGTGTTCCTTAGAAAATATAAAAAATCCCCACATAACTGAAAAAATAGTTTTCCAAAATAATTTTAAAGAAGCTAGCAAAAGTACTGAAATTGTATTTGTATTATATCACATTTCACACTAAGCATGTATGCAAACAATTACAAAATCATATAAAAAGGAAAATTAATAGATATGTGCCTCTACTGAAAACCACTCAGAATATATAAGCTTAAAAAAACCCACAGAACACACCGCCTAGCTTGGTAAAGTTTCTATAAATGCCTTGAAAAACATTTTTTATTTTTCATTTTTAGAACAGCTTTAATGAATTTGTGCTTTGAAATTGTAAAACCTGAGGGAGGCTACTTTCCCCAATCCATTAGTTCTACTTTCCTTTTAATGTTTCAGTAACAAATGAAATTGCTAAGCAGCATTCTTGGTACTGAATATCATAAGCATAGAGATAGAAATAAGATCCCAGATTTTTATTCAGCATTTCCCACAGAGAAACGTATAACATAACCTGCCAGATGAATCACTGCGGATTACATTTACTGAGCCCGTGCAGATCCATAGCATGACACATTAGGTCCAACATACCCCAGACACAATGAACTATTTGTGCATGTGATATACTGACAATCATAACAAATGCAGTTACTATGTCCCTAATTTCCAGATATCCCAGAGCCATGCTGGAGTTGTGGAATCTGTGGAAAACCAAACAGATCCTCAAGTACCTTTTTTTTCTTTTCTTTTTACCAGGATGCAAAGAGAAGGAATAGAAGGGAAGAGGAATAGGATGTGTCCTAAGAGCCTAGAGATGCAAAAGTCCTG